AACCCCAAAACCCCAAAACCCCATATTTAAGATTTAAGTGAAAAAATTCATTATTAGTAATATAATAAATATTAATGTCTGAATTTGATCATAGTCTGCATGAATATAGAAAACTCAGTAGGGATGATCCTCTCCGATTTTCAACACAGTCATAAAACTTTACCGACTCAAGGCTAAAGTTCAAAAGAAATTTCTTGTTTTTGCTGAAGAAAATGTATTTGACTGGAAAGAATGATGAAGTTTTGAAGATTGTAGATCACTTGATAAGAACTAACACTTTTCGAAATTGGGATATTCTATAAAACGAAGGCTTTCATGATGTAATCTCATTTTTATATAATCTTAAGGTTAGATTCTAGCTTATTGCTTTTTGCATATAATGAAGAATCATCAAGGGTTTCTTGATTTCTTTGGAGAACTGTATTCCCTCAATCCTAGAAATAATGAGTTTGTAATTTTCTAGATTTCATTGTTTAATTAGTAAGAAAGAATACTCTATTTTATAGCGATAAGTCTAATCAAGCTTGGCTAAATTGATAAGGCTATTAAGAATATTAGTGAGTAAGAAACGATTCATCATTATGCTTATTATAGTGAGCAATCTAAGACAGGAAATTTTTTCCTGATGAACAATCCAAGGACTTATGCAGTTTTGACTTACCTCACATAGTTGTAAGCGATCAAGTAAGAGACAGAAGAATCAACAAAAGAAGAATTATACGGTCTAGCCAAATAATCTCAAGATAGAAATAAGCAAAAAGACATGGTTTATACTGAAATACTTATGGACAAGATGATCGATAATCCCCGAATTTCAAGTAAGGATGTGGTCAAATATTTAGAGCACTAAAAACTTAGAATTTCTGATTTCAATTATGTTGCTGCAAGTCTTATATAAAAGATTCAGCCAGTTAAATCTTCACTCTTAAAAGTAAGAAATTAAATTCAAAATCATTTCTTAGAAAAAGTATCTTAAGAGACTTTTTGATAAGACACCTTGGTGCTTAGTAACAATGAAAACGTTGTGCAGATAATATAGCAAGAAAATGAAAGAAAAACCAGCAAATATTCTTCAAATGTTTAGCGTATTGATTAAATACCTTGAGTATAAAGATGATGGTGGTCATTTGGAATAATGGCAGTTTTTGATTACCGTTTTAGTGAAAGCAAAAACCTAAATTCAAGGAACATATAAGGAGTAATTATATTATTATAAAGTGTTTATTTTTTAGTTTTTTGTAAAGTAAGAATACTCTTGATACTTGGGAGAGAGTAATTTTAGGTGCCAATCTTTTAAAGTAAATACAAACAGTTGTTTATAGTAAGAGGGATGAATTGGAAATTTTTGAATAGGAATTAGAAAAGTTAAAGAGTAAGTCAGAAATTAATGATTGACTATTGATGTAGGTATGGTTTAGGTAATGAAAATTATGGAAATAAACTCAGATAAAATAGAGAAAATTGAGAACTTTATAAATACTAAAATCTTGATTTCATAAATTGAATAAAACTGAAAATTTACAATCTTGGGGTTTTGGGGTTTTGGGGTTTTGGGG